AGGCGGCAGCCGCCCTCCTCACGGATCAATCCATCAGCGCCGTTCTCGACATTGGACCACAAATGGTCGCTTGGTCTCTGCTCCTTGCCAACGGCTGCAGTGCGACCTCCACCATCGCACTGTCCGCCAAAAAAGACGACGACCAGGAAATTTCGCTCTTATCCGCACTGGCGGCTCTATATCAAACCCGGGGGATCACACCGGATTTCCGTGCCCTTTACGCTCAGTATGAACAACAGACACCTCTGACGACCACGTTCATTCCCACATATCCTTTCCAACGCGTACATCGTTACCCGTCGTACATCCCATCACGGAATCCCAAAGGTGGCGGGCACACGGAATCATTATATGACAACCTCAAAGAACCTGGTTTGCAACCGGATCATGACCCAGGGTCCACGATAAATATTTCCGTCGAGGAGGTCCGGCAGTCTCTCATGAATTGTGTGCGGGACGCCCCTGGAGATATCACTAAGCGAAGACTTCGGTGAGCAGTCTATTCCTCTCTGGCTTATGTCGCCATGTCTCAATTATGCCTATGGTTAAGATGACTCTGATTCCCTTGTGTATCGCGGCATTGACTCCATCACCTTCGCGGGTCTACGGAAGCGAGTTGAAGAACGGCATGGACTCAACCTCTCGGTTGTATTTTGGTCCGATGCGTTCTCCGTAAGAGACATGATTGATAACCTGCTCGAACAATACACGGCCAGCTGATTACTCGCCTGCATGTAACTGCTCATCTCTATTCTTCTGTTCTGTTGTTTGATCTGAATTTCATTTCGATTTTGTGACCAAATGTCGAAGAATTTTTGTAAAATTATCTCAGCTTATTCCAGGGCAAGATCATTCCACGGAAATAACGCGGGAGTTCTTTCCGGGGGAGTTATGATGGTGCGGAAATCTCCACCTCGTGCAGAGGAGGGCGCGCGGGTAGGAGGTCGAGGCGGAGACAGAGGACGGTGGCAAAGTATCTGAAGCTCAACCAGCGTTTTCAAAAATAGCCAACGAGAATCGAATTATGTCAATGCCCATAACGAGGTGGGACAGTTTACGGATGTACTTGGCGAGAAGGATTGGGGGAGGAATGAAGGACTAAGAAATGTACAGCGAATGGAGTGTGCGCTGTGGAGATTCAGAAGACTTTGGATGAAGGGGACTACAACTACAAAGGCATGGTTTGCGAGTAAGCTGGAAGACATAAGCTCGCTAATGCGGAGGATGATGGGAGGAGTGCGCTCTCCTCTACGCGCCCTAACCTCGTGCCCAACCTCACGCGACGCGTTTGTTTGCGCGCATGTGGCTCCACGTGACCCTCCTTGACTTCGTTGCCGCCTGTTCTTGAGGTATTGCTCTATTCGAGGACGGGTCTGAATCCGGTCAGGCAACAAAAAGAGCAAGAGAATTCTGCATTAACTAAACGGTAGCTAGCTAATTTATACAAGTTTCGGTACCGTATTTAAGGGTGAAGGGTTTTGAGAAAATACCAAGTAACAAGGGGTACCCGCTGGAGAAATCCTCTACACGGGGTACAAAAAGTGAAATAAGACGGCGGCAGACCCTCTCCCTACGTAATGCTGACGTATCCGTCCCCATAAGGGAATTTCCCCAGATCTCATCCACGGCTAATGTCGGGCAAAATTCATTCGGAAAGGTGTAACAGCTCCTGTATCTACTCAGGTGCTAGTATATCTGCTGGAATCGAAGTTGGAAAGGGTCGTGTTCAATTTCTTCTGGTGATCAACACTTTCGACATGGAACGTCCAGTTTCCCCCCCAGCCTTCCCGAAGTTGATCCACTTCCTGCCAACTTCCTGCAGACTCCAGAGATCGCAGTTTCGACGAGTTTTGTTCTGTTCAGAGTGGTGATATTGATTACCAGTAGACGAAGCCATTGAATTGCTACCCCTCGGCGGCGGCTGACATCACCTCAGACTGACAGTGTAAAGGTAGAAGAAGCTTGACGTTCGTGACCTGGCCGCATTGTTTGGCAACAGCTTGACTGTCAATCTTGCCGTGATGCTCGGAACGATGTGAAAACTCCCTCCAAAGTAACCGTAAAAAATCCATTTTTTTTTACCATCGCAAACATGTTTTCGAGGGGTTTAGAAACTTTTTCCAAAAACTGAAATAAGAGTTGCTCAACCCTCCCTACCCTATTAGCCGGTGTCTCGGCATTCTCCGGTGGGTACCCCTTGCCAAGTACGAGTCGATACGAAATTCGAATCACCTCGTATTGAGTCGGAATAAATTGGAGGGAGCTGGTGAATCATGTAGTAAGTCATAGGAACGAAGTAACCCTTGCCCATATTCAGTCTGGAGAACAAGGCGGAGTATCTGAGACATATAGACGGATTTGGAGGAGTCGGGAAGAGGCGGGTTGACGCGCGGGAAGTGCCGAGGTGATGATGCAACATTCTGCGTCACGCCGCCCCCACCACTCCTACGCTCCTGCGCCCCCATCGTACACGACCATGCCGCTGTCAATCTCCCCGATGTCGTGCTGCCCGTGCCACCCTGCTCGTCGACGCCGGCATCCGCATGAGCGATGAGGTGCGACCATGACGCCCTCGTCGCCCATGTCTCCGTCGCCTCTTCGCACTCCCCAGCCGTCTTTGCCACCCTCAGCTCGATGCCTATCCATGCCACGCTCACCATGCACATCCTCAGGCGTGCGCGGCACCCGCCACTCCCCTTCTGCATCGCCCACAACCCAGTCCTCGCCTTTTCTTGCACCATGAGCAATCCTCCTGGCGGCCTCTGCCTCCCGCGCACACTAACACTCTGTGTACCATCACCGACCTGCGCCACGGCGGCGGTGGTGGCTTTCGATGACCCACGCCGCCTCCGTTGCCTCCCCAGGCGCGGCCACCATCTTCCGTGCAGTCCCTGCCTCGTCATGCGCCCGGACACATCCCCAGCATGCTGGACACCACCACCAACGTTCCCAGTCGCTCTAACGACTGTTTGCCATCGCGCCATCGTCCCGTCCCACGTGCCTTCACCTCCTTCAGCAAAGTAACGCCCGCGATACACGACGCGCGTACGCTGCGGCCCTAATTCTACCTCCGGCCTGTCCGGTATCTCGACACTCTCCTGCCTCGCATCCTCTTCACTCGCCTTCTCACCCGCGTCCTATCGCCTCCCCACCTGCCGATGAGCACGAGTACACGGAGGAAGGATGAAGAGCGTAGCTTGGGTGTCCATGGACTCTCCAGACATGCGTCTCCTGCGCAAGCTCCCCACTGTCCTTGTACGCTCATCGCCCTTCGTCACGCACGCCGCTCTTCGGCTCCTCGACGATATACTAGCACGGACTTCGTCAGTCTGCATTCGCATTGTATACCTCTTGTTTTACATTAGTTTGCTATGCCCTCTATTCATATTTCGATGTTATTGTACATAACCATGCACCTAATGAATATGTTGCCTTGGTTTGGTGCATGTGAGATTCCCGCTACCTTTAGGTACGGGTTCTTATATATGTCGCGATCAAAATCCTTTTGAGTGTGCATCACATTTTCGTCAGCAGGTTTCACGTAAGCACATCTTCTCCCCGCCGAATTACTTCGGCTGCTGCAAAGCCGTTCTGTTTGCCGATGGTTACCGTTCAGGAGCTCGTAATTCTGCTTATTTGAGAGGTGAACACAACTTGTTTCAAGTTCAAACGGTCCCTGTGAGATTGATTCATGTCCAGCATAATATGATCTGTCCCTTTACTTATAACAAATATTTGCAGCAGGGTTTGATCAGTTCTCTCAGATTTTGAGCTGGACATCATACATGCAGGTTCAATACTGAACATGCAATCAAAGTTGAACTGTTACTACCGTTGATTCTCCATCAGGAAAGAGGTTTCTAAATGTCGCCGTCCTAATTAGGCCACTGGTATACCGAATGAAAGATACCTGATACCTTAGGTGTTTTTCTGTGGCCCAATGCGAGCTGGTCGGTGCGACAGCACCGACCGAGCAAGTGTTGGGCTGCCTGTACTACTAGACTAGTAAATTTCTGAATTGATTAATTGTAGTTCAAAAGGCCTGTATATTTCCGGGTAGCGGGCTCTGCCGCTTGTCGGCCTTACTGGCCTTATAATGGAGTGAGGAATTTTTCAGCTGATGGCGGCATTCGGCTGTTTCTTTCCACTTGTACGGCAAGTTCTTCAGGTGCTCATCTCCCTTCGCTGACTTCTGCACTTCAGTGTAAAATTCATTGTCTCATCCAAAGTTTCATTTCTACAAGAGGAATTTGTTTGTCTTAGTGCAACACTCGCGCGAGGCCTATTGCCACGATGGTGTGAACTCGCACTTATGCACATCGCGTAATCCCGAGATCTTCACGACTCGTACGCTCCCTCCTCAGGCTCACATCACCCTTTCCTTGGCTGGGCTCGAAACTGCTATCCCCTTGCTTTTCAAATGCCATTACGGTTGTCGTTCCCTTTTCTCTCTATCCCCAACTGCAGGCCTCTTTGACCGTAATCCTCCTTTTTGTACTGACTTCATTTCCTCTTGTATGTGCATAGGTGCGTAACACTCATTATGCGCCCACTGATCTGTTCACTCAGATCTGATCCACCATCTGTGCTTCCGAGTGCTGGAGCCATGCTGGACCGAACCCAGGTACGTTGATTCATTTCAAATGGTTCAATGCAAAGTAATGTAGGTCTTTGTCATTCAGTTATCTCGACATTACTCGATTCAATTCTTGGTCAACTATAGACTGGGGTGTGTGAGCTTGTCTATTGCCCAATTCTCCACTCACTCACTCACTCGACATACAGTTGAAGGCCATTGAGGGCCATGGCGCGCGTTTCTGTCCGAAATGTTGGTGCATTTCTTCCCTGACTGACGGCCCATTCCTTGCTCAGATATTGGGTGGTGTGAGCTCGTATGTGTTTCGGGGCCTGTTACAACCAACTGGTACTTCAAGGTAAGTAAGATTCGGCTCATTGGGTTTATGATTGGATCAGCTGGGTATTATCTGGCAGTGGCTGGGGGCAGCATAGCCCAGTTGGTATGCTGCCATCTTCCCGATCACATAATAAAAAAGAGTATGATCAGGGCGCGGGTTCGAATCCCGGTCCATGTCGGGCGCCAGTACAATGGTTCTGCAGAGGACCGAGTCAGTTGCTTCAATTGCAACGGCCCAATCTTTATCTGCCAGTGGCTGTACAGTTATCTGCCATGGCTGCCTCTAGCTTCACACCTTTGCACTTTAAATTCATAAAAATGATACATTGGAAAGTGTATCGGAGTATGGCAGATCCTAAGCCTCGCAAGCCAGCAGTTTCCCTTGCCAACCTGGCCACGTGTTTTGAGAAATGTATGAATGTGTTTCAGCCCACGCCTCCTACTTTTAATCAGGGGCACCTCCGTATTGTGAAGGAGCATGCAGAAAATATTCCCCTTCCATCAAACCCATCCGACTTTCCGGTCTTGAATAGGAAAGTGATGGAAGAGGATATTGAGTGGGTAAATGTCAGGAGCCTCTTGAGAAGGACGTGCCGAAAGCTATCATGACAGTCTTGCATCACTACTTGGTTCTGGTGGTTAATCACAGACACTGGAAAGCCCTTACACAATTGTTGGTCAGTCAGCATCCACTTGCAGTGGAGCATCTGAGATACAAGAAACAATATCACAAGGAGATTGTTCTGCAGAACTTGCAGCGGTGCAGATCTGGATGTGCAAGTGTGGAGACTGTGGAGCACGCAATGTTTTTTTATGATAAAATGGATGAGTCAATCCAGCGATGTACAACCTTTGTGCTGGCAATAAGTGCACGGCTTCCGGAAATCTTGGTGGTTTCAACTGCAACTGCAATGGCTATGTTTCAATCACTAGTGTTCAACTGCGACCCAGTTTGCCAAGTGGCAAAATTTGCGCACTATGTGTTTGGTCTTTTTTCAGACACAGCGCTAGTTTGGCCAGAGGGCATTTGATGCAATGGGACAGATGTTCAGTCGGTGCTCGACCCCAGCATTAATACACGAGGTATAGGTGGGGATACAAGTTGCAATTAACCTGGCGTCTGAAAATCAGCTAAAATACATGATCAAGCACAAACAAAAATGAGGGGCACAACTATCGACGAAGCCGTACAAGTTAAGCCAGCAATTTTTTTTTTTGCCTCTCTGCCATCGAGTCCATTCCAAATCAGATAATCTGTTGGCCCCAACCCTGGTGACCGGCCGCTTTTGTGGCAGCCTGTCTCCTCTTGTATCATTTAAAAGCAGTTTAAGACATTAGACAGGTTGCGCAAGAACCACTGGAGCCACCCAGTGGCTCCCGGACCGTGCACAAACAAGTGGCTCCACCGCCAAAATAGAGACTTTGCAGCGAGCCACCGGGAGCCACCCGCTGGCTCTGTCGGCATACGGTGCCGAGTCGCTACCGCTTTTGGTGGCTCCTCTGGTGGCTCAACCAAAGCAGTCACATGTGTTTTTGACGTATTCTATACAATACTTTCACATCATCTTTCATGCAGTGAGCTATTTTAGAGTCTTGAATATGCTGCACTACTCTAATCAAGGTCATTTCTGAGGCGCAGGATAAAGATATCAATGATTCACTGGGGCAGCTGGGTGGTCAAGCTGATCTCGATGACTTCGGGATAAAGATTGGGTAATGACATCATATATTCAGCCACCAGAGCCATCAAATGTGGTAACCACTTGGAGACATCCAGAATGCCAGTGCATCATTTTTGGAGTGTCTATCAAAGAGTCGAAGCAACCAAACGGACATCACAGAAAATGGTTTGGCAGCTCTGGCTGACCCAGTATCCAGAATGCATGGGACATTTGACACCTTCCGCTTGGCAGTGGTGTACTTGGCATTTGTGCAAAAAGCCAAGGATCCCATTGGCACTTTACAGGCTCTTCGACGACGAGACAGCCCTTCATCTCTTCCACACTGCACTGGGATCAGGGATCAAGATGCATATACATCATCTCAGAGTAGAGTGTATGGTTGGAATTGGGGATATCATGATCCGGCGGTGCAACCTAATGCAAGCGATGGAAATGTTGGGGGCCGCCCATCCTCTCTTTGTCCGTTTGTCGCGGATGAAGGATGCTGCGTTGGTCAAGGACTGACAGGGAACATTGTGTCAAAAAGGCAAATCACACTCGGTCCACGCCATCCGGAATGGAGCTGATGAATCAACCGGCTTTGTGTCATTTGATTTCAAACGCTCAGGGAGCCCTCCCGCCCCAGAATTAAGCTTTAAAAAGCTGGAGAATTTGCCAGCGCCTTTGACCTATCCTTCGCTGCAGGTCAAAATTGCCGTGGAACCAGGAACTTCGCCTAACGAAAATCCCAAACTACCTGCCGTAGAATAAGGCATCTTGAACAGCTTTATTGGACGCCCACTTTGATACATGCTGCTACTTTATATGATACTTGCTCCAGAGATTCTGCTATGAGTTTCCGCATTTGTGCCTTGTGGTTGACTCAGTTGTTTAGATGATCGAATATGATTTCGTTTGCCTGAAAAATCGACTCAGCTGTTCCATTCAATCAAAGGGCTTGTGTTGTTCAAGCCGAGAGCGAATAGTGCCAGGAATTTTGTAAGCTTCACCCTTATTTGTGAGGCGCAACAAATGATCCGGATGGGGCTTCAACCCGGCCGTTTTTGGACTGTACCCGTCACGTTACCCGTTTTCGGCATTGTCGGAGCCATTTCTGGGTCATTTTGAGACATTTTGGGCTGAATCGAACCATTCGGATCAAGGCTTTTTGCTAGTGCTCTTGATTTAACCCAACACATCCCTGTTCGGGACAGTATTGGCCAAAAAGTTCCGAAAATAGACCCGTTTGATACACGAACGGGTGGACGGGTTTGACGGGTTATTTTGGTCGGAAAACTCACCATTGTACTCGCATGCTTTATTCAATTCAAAAGCCCGCTGGGAACTAAAAAGTATACCGGAAGGAGCTCCGGATGCCTGATTTAGTTTCACAGAAAGTCCTCAGAATAGCTTCAGAAATGGAAAATAAGATTCCCATCAAATTTCGACGGGTTGAAGCCCTAGATCCGGCCTTCTGGGCCGACGCCTGTTCGGCCATCTGCTGAGCCTGGGAACTATGTGTGCGCAGCTCGATCACATCTGCAAAGTCGATCAACAAGATCGACTTGCCTTCTTCCAATTCATCCTTCTCAACACCTGTTTGGGACTCCATTCCGGCCATATTACATTCCTCCGGACACCGGCTAAATACGATCTTCTGGTCTCGCTAGTTAATCTCCAGGTTGTGTTTAAACAACCAGTCGTAACCAATAAATAACTGGGCTTTCCCGAGACCTGTGATAAGGAACTTTTGTCTTTCACGGTGAGACCCCAAAGACATGATCAACTCTACGTAATGAGTGATCCGTCCTTTAGTGTTCGGAGTCCCGTCCGCATTCCTTGCCACGATGGTAGAATCGAGTTCTTTCATCTCAAAACCCTGTGCTTTAGCGTAGTCTCAATCCATGCACGTGGTTGTGCAACCATTATCCAACAGTGCATTAACTTGATGTGTTTTCCCGGTTTCCAACGTCTCTAGTTCTATAGAGACAATCATTTCATGTCTGGCACGTTCTTTCTGGAATGCCCGCATTTCCTGTGCGAGGCAACTTTCTGCAATTCCCATAGCTCGCCTGGCGAGCCATTTTGCTGCCTCCTTTCCCTTTTTTCCAAACGGAATTCTGGTGGCATAGACATTGGGAATGGTTGGATGCGGCATTCCTTCTGGTGCTCCCCCCAATCCAGCAGGTATGCACTTCCCTGTCGTTTGCTGTTTGGATCGAGCCATCACGCTTTTAGCGTCCTTTTGATCATCCGTATTTGTTACACCGGTCCGAGTTCCAGGGGCCTTTTTCTTCACACGTAATTTAACTAATTTATCCGGATCCGTGGCATTGGTGAACGAAGAAGAGATACATGTGTTATTTTTTTCTTTTTTAAAGTTTTCTGTGTCTGTGACTAGTACTGTGTCTTTGTCCGCTTCAACCGAATCGTGTGCGTTTAATAATAGGTAACAGGGGTGCCGGTTTGGCCTTGACCGGGACCCTCTTTAAAAACCCTTCTCGCGCAGTATGGCAGCAAGAACTTCCAGGTCCTCCTGGGAATACTGATCAACCTGAATCAATCAAATATTAAATTTTTTCTTAGGAGGCGCTGGGCACTCCCGTCTCATGTGGCCTTCCTGGCCGCAGTTGTAACATTTGAAGGCTCCCGCCTTTGTCTTGGATGCGTCCACATCCATCGGTACCTGCCCACCAGGCGGTATTGGTTTTGCCAAATTTGGTGCACTTCCTCCCATATTCTTTTGACTTGCCGCAGGGCCGGCAACCTTGTTGGGGGTCCAGAACTGGTTCCCCGGGGATACGAGACTGGCATCTGTGCCGCCTCGATTTTCATCCTCACGATGTTGTGATCAATGATCAGCAACCTCCGTTTTATCTCCTCGTAGGTCTCCGGAACCTCGAGCCCTCCAGCGTAAAGCTGGACCCTGATCTTCCGATTGATCAGTCGTTCCAACGTCTCCATCAAGAAGACGTCTGCATGGGGTTCCCCGGACATGTACCCAGGCTTCTTCAGCATTCAGTTTGAATGCCTGAAGGAATTCTGTCAACCCAGCGTTCCCTTGCTGGGTCGTCGTGAGGCGCAGGTGCACCGTCTTGATGCTGTTCTGGTCTTTGAACGACTGTCCCGAGCTGTGACGGGGTACGGACAAGACGCTGCTAGACGACACCGCGCGAGGACAGTATTGTACATATATTAATTCTACATACAACGTATACATATAACGTGCACATTATTATGTTAGTAGTTGATCCGGGATCCTTACTTACATAATATCATCTTTTACTTGCAATCTGCTACAATGTCGTGAACACCTACTTGGAGGGAACCCCCCGCCCCGGACCCACTGAATGCCTGAGCATGCGTATAACTGCTCCACGGTCTCGGTGCTGCGGAGTCCCCATCCAAGGGTGACATGGATCCTAGATGAAGGGTTACAACACGGGGAGGGCCCGAGTCGGCGCCTCCCGTCACACATAGCTGCGCCGGATACGATATCCGTGCGCGCTTACCTCCAG